CTGCATCTACACCTACATCTACAGCTACACTACACCTACACTACAGCTACACCTACAGCTACATGTACACCTACACTACACCTACACCTACATCTACACCTATATGTACCTACATCTACACTACATCTATATCTACACCTACTCTATATCTACACCTACACTACATCTACACCTACATGTACACCTACACTACACTTACACCTACATCTACAACTACACCTACATGTACGTCTATATCTACACTACATGTACACCTACATCTACACCATCTACACCTACACCTACAACTACACCTACATCTACACCTATATCTATACTACATCTATATCTACACCTACACCACATCTACACCTACATGTACACCTATATCTACATCTACATGTACATCTATATCTACACCTACACCTACACTACACCTACATCCACATCTACACGTACACTACATCTACACTTACACCTACATCTACATGTACACTACACCTACATCCACATCTACACCCACACCTACACCCACACCTGCACACAGGTATCACACTTTCAGGAAGACTTTCTCCAACCTACAGCTGCCTCAGAGCACACAAACCGGGATTATCCAAAACCACTCCAGGCTCTTACTATGGACACTGTGCAGGGATGGAATCCAGGCTGGTGGAACACACGTTTCCATTCTATGTTTTCTATGATTTTGCAAATGTTTCATTCTCTGAGCAGGATTTCACCTCTAATCAACCAAAGTTAAGGCCAGTGCAGCTCATGAAGGCTGAGGAGCCCAGAATTACTGCAGAATTACTTGGTAATTACCCAGAATTACTGCAGTCAAAAACAAAACCAAGGTTTCCTGAAGATGTTCCACCACCAAAATCACAGAAATCCTCAGCAATGAAGCTCAGTGTAACCAGTGTGGGGAAGCCATTGAAACAATTACCATGATGAAATGAAAAAAATGACATTATTAGTCTAATCTTAGAGGTGCTCTCTGGAAAATAAAATCTCAGGCAGCTGAGACCAAACAAAGAAAAAAAAGCAGTGGCAGATAAAATATACCACAAACTCAGTAAGCAAATCTGAAAAACAAATATGAAAAGACATGCTGGAAATTTTTACTTCATATTAAATTTCTTTAACTACACCAGAAATAATAAGAATATATGAAAGAAATTTGCTGGACTAGCTACTGATTTAATGAAAAAAAAAAAAAAGTTTAAATTCCCTTCATTAGAAATTATCCATTAACTTTTGTGGAACTTTCCAAATACCTTCCCACAGTGTTACTATTCCACTGACTATTACTGCAATCTAACCCAGTGCTGAGATGATTTGAAAATGAAAGGAATGACAGGTAACTTCCCAGCTCAGTAAGCCAATCCCAGCCTCATCACACCTTTGCCTGCATTCATCACACAACAGCTCCAATTTCTGCTCTCTTTTTAACATACAATACGTGAAGGCCCATTTCTGAGAAAATCCATCAAGAACTGATCATGTACAAAGCACTTATATTCTCAAGTGCTAGACTTTCTTTCTCCCTCTGAACAGAAATCACCATTTTTTGCTACTTAAGACATATCCTGTGCTTTACTTTGCATGATTACTTTGAAAGCAAATGGTTCCCCTGATAATTATTATTTTGATTATGGGTTTTCATTTGGATGGCTCCCCCTGAAAAGTCTTAATACTGCCTAATGCTTGAAATTTATTTCCTTGCTGTTTTCTTGCTGTGTCAAAAGAGAGACTTTTGTGACAGTGGCACATTTCCTGCCTGCACTTACAGAGTGATTTTGGGCAGTAATGTGATAGATGGATGGGTTTAACAATTCATAACTCAAGCCCAGCCTATTGCCATTTGAAGAGCTCCTACTAAATAAATCTTACAGCCTGTAAATACGAGGCAGCTGCAATAGCTGGGGTTTACACACTTCTGGGACACCTCGGAGTGAATTTATGCTGGATGGAACTTGGGAATTTATTTGCTAACATGATCATGTGCAAAGATACCTGAACCACCTGAGCTGCAGTGTTCATTTGGCTGCTAAAGGCACCATTATGCCTCAGATTAATGACACCTGAAATGACATTATTTGCACCATTTCTAGTTCTGATTCTTAGTATCTGACAGGGAAAAAGTCTTTCCTTGTGACTGACTATCTCAGTGCTTTCACCTCCACCAAATGGAGAATAAATCTCTGCACACATCAAAGCTGCTCTAAGAGTCAGTGAACACCAGGGAAGTTCTCCAATTTCCCCAAAGAGCCCCTAAAAATGTGCATTTATCCAAGAAAAGCCCCACACTCTGCTGGTAGCTGCAGAGAGCTGGAGGTGGGGATCTGGAGGGGGGAAAAGCTCATTTCCAGCCAGTCCCTGACCCCTAAACCTCTCCTCCCTTTCCCTCGGGGTCCCAGCTTGGCTCCCAGGACTCAGGAGGGGCTGGTGACACCCTCATGGTCACAGGGAAGGAACCCTTCTGTGTTTTGCCAAATCTTTTATTCATCCCTGCCCCACCATTCTGGTGTCACTGGCTACCACAGCACCTGGTTCTAGAAATGCTCTGCAGCACCTTAACTCCATCCTGCACCTGAGGTGTATTTCTGATGAGCTATTCTGTGAAGGAAATCATTGTTAGCACCTTTCACAAAGCACCAAATTTGCCAAATCTGGATTTCCAGCTCTCCCCAGGCACTGGGTATCACTCACTGGTGATTCTGGCCAGGTGTCCCCTTGACCCATGGCCAAGGCAAGCTGCTTTAGTGGTGGAGGGGTAGAAAAAATGGTATCAAAATTTATCTACAGATTTCTGATTAATGCTGAAGTTTTTTTGTTTTGCTTTTCTGTAAAACACTGAGATACAAAAATGTCAGAAAAACGTGCACTGTGCAAGACAAAGCTTTTCTTGGTGCTCTTCCAGGCTGACCTGCATCATTATTGCAGTGCCTGCATCTGTGAGTGATGCCCCCACCTCCCTGCACAGCAAAGCAGCCTTTATGCAATGTCACAGCATCATCAGTTTCCTCCTTCTCTCTTCACACAGAAGAAACAGAGAGATGATCAACAGCTGGGAAAGCATCCACTTGAAAAAAAAAAAAATGTGCCTTCAGAGATGTGTAATGGCTGAGAAAAAAATGCTTCTCGTGAAGCACATTTAATGTTCAGAGCTTGTTCACTGACTGAAACAGCAGTTCCTTAATATCCAACACTTAGAAGTGCTCAGCAGCCGGAACAGCAAGTAATTATAAAACTTTTCTAAAGTACACAGCACGTAGTGATTACAAATGAAGCTTCCTCAAGGCAGGGCTTCTAAGGAATTGCTCCAGGGTGGGTATATGAGTCTAATTTCACTGGATTGAGAGTTCCCCTGGGCCAGCTCACTCCTTGGACTTACTTTAATTTATAAAAACGTTAATCATTCAGGGCTAGACTGGAGCACGTGCCAGCACAGGGGAGGGAGGGCTCCTGATGTGCTGAGCAGGCACTGGAGGGTGGGTGTGAACTCTGCACATCAGCCAGGAGCTGATCCCAACACAATTATCCCATCCCATCCCATTATCCTATCCCATCCCATCCCATTATCCCATCCCATCCCATCCCATCTCATCCCATCCCATCTCATCCCATCCCATCCCATCTCATCCCATCCCATTATCCTATCCCATCCCATTATCCCATCCCATCCCACCCCATTATCCCAGTGGGCAGAGATGAGGAGCTGCTGGTGGGATGAGCCTGCAGCTCAGGGATGGGGGAACTGATCCTGGCAGAGGCTGGCAGCCAAGTGCTGCCCCAGGAGAAGGGGCAGCAGAGCCCCTGAATGCCTCTGAGCAGAGCAGTTTGAGAAAGAGAAGGGGAAATGGAAATTTCTGCAAATGGAAAGATAATAAAAGATGCATAAAAGGCAAAACAGAAGCAACATCAGGAGGAAATGCCAGGAAAGTCGCCAGCTGCTGCCAGCTGTGTGGGCAGAACACACCCTTGAGACATCAGCCAGTGTTTGGATTTTGGAAGATTTTTGAGGATGATATTAAGCAACTACTTTGCAACTACTTATTGATAATTCTGGCTGCAGTCAGTCTGCAACTGACTTACTGATAATTCCAACCTCCAGTGCCCTGAGAAATATTCACCCTCCAAAGAAGATTTTTCTTCTATCAATGCCTGGGACTGGCTCTATCAAAAG